TCATTAGCTAACCGGTTGTGCAATGTGAAGCCCTCAGCCACACACCACCAGGTAACCCAGTAGGTGTGAACGGGCGCTGTTCCTTTCCCTTAAAGGGACTAAGAACAGCATAAAGATACTTTTTCTATTTCTAGCTTTTCAATCTTTTATTTTTAACATATCTCAACTTTATTTTAGGTGCATCTTAAGCGACTGGTTAAGAAAAGCTGCAGCATCAGAGTGTTTAGTCTTCGCCTGTACTGAAAGTAAGACAGTAACTTAAGCAGTTCAAACAAATAAAGCTATTTTACATGCATTTGCATACTCTTCTAGAAATGGAATACATATTTATTTTTAAAAAAATGAAGTTAAAGTATCAACTTTGCTAACAATAATGAAAAGAAAAAAGAGACGCCGAGTTTGCTGCCAACATCTCTTAACATTTGGGGGAATAATACAGGAAAGGCACTGTATTTGGCAGTCCCTATCTGCACAGAGAAAAATCAAACTTTTAGAGAAAGCGCTTTAAAACAATCCCAATGCCCTTATCAACCGTGGTGTATGTTTTCATTTGTAAAATAAAAATCTTTATGTGCCTTCTTTCATGTAACTGCAGATTGTTTATGTCCTACAGCATAGATACTATGTTTACATATAGTTTTGTAAAGTGTATATACTATGGTCAGAAAATATTAAAAAATATAGTGGATCAAACTTCAAGAATTGCTTTGTCAATAATTATGCATTCAGACCGCATTAAAATAAAAGTTGTCTAAAAGAAGTTCATGATCTATTGTAATAAGGTAAAAATAATAATAATAATAAAAAAAATCCCCCTCATGCTTTGCCTTATGCATTGTGCTTTACTGTATAGCGGGAGGTGTGGGGGGAAGGAAGCCAACAAATATTTCAGGTCTTGGGAAAGCACTCTTCATTTCTAGTCCATTTGTAACTGAGGACAAATATCTTCAGTCCAGGTCATAAATGCACACAACCTGTTCAGGTAACCACGATGCTTCCAAAACCACTCGTCATTTTCTGTTCTGTTCTTCTGAAATATATAAGAGATGGAAGTCCTTCCTTCAAAGCCAAAAGGTGTTTGGGGACAGACATCAATGCAGCAAAACCCAAGATTCTGCAGTATGTTGAGTACTCCACTGCCACTGGATAAGTGACCATTGTGCGTAGCGATGATTATTTACATCAGGTTCAGATTTTAATGTTGTAGATCATTTGGATACTTGAAACTTTGCCCCAAGATAAGTTGTTTTACTTAGCTTCACTGAACTCTTTTGGTCAACATCAAATTGTTAATGCATTTAAATTTGAAATTAATATACCAGTGTTAGAATTCTAAAGTATCACACAACATGTTATTTGCCAGCTGATTAACCAATGTATTGCTTAAATTCACAAGTGTAAAAGTAATGCAAACGTAGCAACTTACACATGGGAAAAAAAAAAAAAAAAGAGCATAGAATGGCTCACTTCATGGCCTAGTTTTGCACTTTTGACCAGATCAAAATTTGAGGAAGAGTTCCCATTTAATGCAACACAAAATGAGCATGAGAAGGTGGCCCAAGGACAGATGAACTGATCACGTTCCTCTTTGCAGCTGGAGCCAGGTTTGCACCGGGGCCTTACAGACCAGCACCCACCACGGGCTGCTCAGCAGCCCCACAGCAGCCCCACGCAGCTCAGTCTGGCTCCCCCAGAAGCCAGCAGACAGCAGCCGAGTGCCACACGGACACCCGTGCTTGGGCTTTCTACACCACCTTTTCCCAAAACCAAACCAACCAACCAACCGAGACACCTAGCAGTTGTTCTACATTTTGGATTTTCTGTGCCATGGAGGAATAAGTAATCAAACACAAACCCTTTTTGCTGACAGCCAGGAAGTAACTTCAGTCACAGGAAACAAAAAAAATTTGGGTTCTTTCGTATTTTGTATATTTTTATCTGTGTCACTTCAAGTGAGATAAAGTCAATTAGTTCATTTGCGCCCACACCTTAGTCCTCCCCTGCAGCTGTAAGCTTCCATGCGTGTTTTATTTCAGACTTGAGGGAAAACCCCCATTGATAAGGAATTCTAAGGAAAAACTGATTAGATAAAAATGAACTAGTAAACCAGTAAGGATTTGTTTAGTCATCCATTAACATTTTCTGAAGGACAGGGCAAGTCAGAAGAATTTTTATGTAACTTCAATGGTGGTGATTATCACCAATAATTTAATAGCAGTATTATTTGAGCAGTGCTTGGAGGTCTGTAAAAAAAAAAAAGCCAAAATACAAACATCCTTAGCATTTTATAGATCATCTAGCTACACAAAGAATCTACTGGAATCACCAATTTGAAAGAAATCTATGTCTGCTATTAAACTGTGTAGAATGAAAATAAATGCATATCCAAACAGAAAAAAAAAGCATAAAAGCCCAATTAATCCAGCAATCAGTAGTTTTATTTAATGCAAAATTTATCTTTTTCTCCCAAAGATCTTTTCTTTAAGTAGTGGCTTTAGATGATAAACTATTGCAATACAAATGTTTAAAAAAAAAATATTAACACAATGCAAAGAAGTTGATAATTTAGCAAAACTATTTTATTAAAGCTTATTCTCATGATAAAATAATAGCCAACAAAATCATATTAGGCAGATCTTCTGCAAATGTGTGTAGCTGCCACCTATTCAGATATCATTAAGTCAAGATATTCTTGTTTTCTGTGGTATTCTTTATTTTCAGCTATTTACAGTCAAGCATGAAGCAAAGATTACATCCGGAATGTAGTATTACAATTTTCCCCTTGAGATTCACCATTTATTGTAATTAATGCCAGATAGGAATTTATGTTTTCCTTCTTATCCCTAAAATACAACTATTTTGCCCTTTTCCCATTCAGCATATTTAAAAATATTGCACTACATTTAATTCACCTCTTACAATCATTATTAGCAATACCATACGAGGAAAACTATATCCAGCTTTTCTTACCCATTTATTACACAAGTCAATTTAAAACCTTTAATGCATTTTTTAAATCGGTATTTGCATTGTTTTCACAGCTCCTTCATGTGCACCAGGGTTTAAATGAAGTACTTGGATGTATTTGAAAACCTCTATAGTAGTCCAAGAGCAAACACTGATGGAGATTGAGCGCAGATCACCACCAATGGTAAGCCACTGAGAAAAATGGAGTGGGGAAGTCTTAATACGCATCTCAAGCGAGTATAGGTTAAATAACTTTTAGTCAATAAGGGAAGCTAATTTTGTGCGATTATTTGCTGAAGCTTAATTTCAGAAGTGTGTCACATGCCTATTTTAGCATGGGTAGTGTTTTCCATACATCAACTAAGTAAGTATCAACTGCCCAGAACTCACAAAAAAGTGCAAGTAGTTGCATGCGTGGAAGTAACCATTTTGTTTAGAAGTACAAGTATGCTTTTCCACCTGTGAAAACCTTTGCTTCTTAATTTTGCCCATCACAAAATAAACTGAGAAGCAGATTTAATGGAGAGGTACACTACAGACTGCCTGAAAATTTAAATGAGTTATTTTACCATCTTAGACTCAACTCCATTTCCACAAAGGCATTTTTTTTTTCCATACTACCAGTGATAACAGTGATAATGATACCAGTACCTAACACAGTACCTAAAATAAAGATGGTATTTTATACGGCATTTCTATACACAAAAGATGAAACAAAGACATGTTTACAGTAAATAAATAAGAACAACGGCCTTAGCCAGGTGATGCTAAGATCCACAGTTTACACATAGCACACGACCTGATAGTTCTTTTCAAAAGCTGCTGGCTGAAGTTCTTCCTCATCTCTACTGGACTTATTTTGACTCAAATAAAACATGTTATATACACTATAAGACATTTTTCTGACAAAGGTGATCCTTCTACTCAGACTGCCTCTTCTGTCTGAGAAGCTCAATGCAACTTACCACTATATGATTACTGTTGTTGTGTTGAAAGAGAACACATTTAGCTATTTTGTACCTTAATCTTTCTGAAATGATAAGATAAAGTCTGCAGCAAAATATTTTTTTTTAAATTACTTAAACCATCATTACATGCCTTTTCATAAAACGCAGTGAAATCTCCAATGCTTGAGAAGAACAATCTTCCTTTATCAAGTTATCAGATAATACAACAACACTTAAATTTATAATTTTGGTTTAGAAGAGAACCAGCCTCTTATCTCAAAAATATTCCCAATTAAATTATTACTAGATACTGGTATGTACTTTGATATCTAGTATTATTCAATCAGGATACAACAGCCAAAAGTTCTACGGAAGATTTTTTTTTTTTTAGCATAGCATTACTGTATTTCGTGTTAATTACAAACTACAAAAAGTTGTTGTATTTAACAAAAATATGGGAAACACATGGTATGCCATATTAACTCTAGTAAATATTAATAACAGACAAAATGAAAAACCTTTTGTTTGCTTTGATGGTCTGTTTGGCAAAAAAAATACACAACTACCTAGAAGACGTACAATAACTGTGATCAACATTTTAAAGCATGGTCCCTCAATGACTTCTGTGTCAGTCACCAGCTTAGGCATGCAACAAGCTTAAAATTTTTTCATCGTACAATGAAAACTAAACATTTTGAAAATCCTGCCAGTTACCTGTTGAAAACACTAGCTCAAAAAAAAAAAGGGGGGGGGGGGGGGCAGGGAGGTGCCAAGTAATATATTAAGGACACCACACACATTAATGTGAAATGGTAAGGTTACATAATTAGAAAAAATGAAAATAAATTATTAAAAATAAATTTCCAATATAAACCCCAAAATGTAGTTTTAACCAGCCAGTTTAACAAGATGATGGTGCTGTAGCTGGAGAAGAACCATTATTAGCTGTACTCTTACACAGGCAAATAACTGTGCAGAAGCAGGACATGTACATTATACCAGTGTTTTAATTTAATTTGTATGTGTTTGTAATTAAGTGCAAAGTATTCTTTTAGTCCATTCCTTCAAAGGCTAAATATTTAAATATCAGTCTACTGATTGAGGTGGATCAACTGGTTCTTCCGATATGATGTTGAATGTTGGTGCCTCCATCAGACTGACATCTTCATTATCCATTTCTTCTGTTATATTGGGTTCCTCTGAATCTTTAGTCACTCTTTTGGACTGCCGCTCTAATGACATGTTCTCCAAAGACTCTATATCCTCAATGCCTGCTCTGTAGTGGATCATCAGCAGCGTAAGGGCCTGCAGTCTTTCACCTGACTTAGCCAGCGCAGCAGAAATCAAGGCTTTTTTCCTTGCATCGGTTGTTTCTTTTTCTTCTTTAACGAGCGAATTATTATTTTCCAGCTCCTGGTCTATTTCATTCTGCAGCTTATCCAACATAAATTCTAATTTCTGAAAACGCTCCTCTGTGGGTAAACTTCTGTAGAGATCACGTCCAATTTCTTTAACGGCAATGAAGACGCTGTCGTCTAGACCACCCTCCTTTCGGACCAACTTTATCCCAGTACCCCCTGCCCGTTTTGAAGGGCTGCTTGGCCCACTGATTTCAGTATCGCTACTTTCATTATCAGAAGTGTTTGGTGTGTGCTTTGGCGAAGGTTCTACCACCTCTGTTCCTTGCTCAGAAAGGCGAGCTTTGGGGACTTGACGAAGGTTTAACAAACGGGTGCTTGTATTGATGATATGCCTGGTCAAACCTGTAGTTCTGTTAACAGATTTAGATTCTGAATCAACACGAGAGGATGCAGCCTGGGGAGCTTCCTGTCCATCTACTCTACAACCTCCCACAGTTCGATCAAGTCGCTTTTCAGCTCCTACACAAAACGGCGTCTCAGTTAGACATTTTTCTTGACATTTTTTATGGCAAACATAAGCACAGAGCATGCACTGCGAAGCCGCTTTAGTCCATACTTTCTTTTTGCAGTAATCGCACCAAGTTGGATTCTGAAACTGAGTATCTTGAAAGTTATGCTTGTTCTCTGTAAGAACAATTTGTCCCAAATAAGGATCCTCTTTCTGAAGTGTACGAGCTTCCTCTTCCAAGTGACATTCCTTTTCTTTCTCCAGGAGAAAGTTTGAATCATCTATTTCACCTTCTTTTAAATACTTGAAGTGTAAAGTTACATCGCCATAACAAAATTTTTCATTGAATCCCTTATGGGTTGTCAAATTCCGCAATGCTGTTCTAGTGACTGCTGCTTTAGGTGTAGGAGCATCCAGTTTAAATGTTCTAATATATTCCATTGAGGATGTAGCTATACAATCTAAAGCAATTTCTTCAAGTTTTATGCTTGCATATCCTAAGCAGATAAAACCACCTGCTTTGAAAGGGTCTCTGCACCACAGCGCAACATTAAGGTACTTATGATATCCCTCCACTTCAAATAGACAGGAGGATGTTCTCGTCCTTGGCCATCGGCCTTGCCGGATTTTATAAGGAATTTCTGGTGATTCCCATGTCTGATGATCATCTGCATTCTCTTTGCAACTACGTGCATTTTCTGAAAGTCCATCTTTTAATGTATCTTGTTTTGGTGCTGTTATTACTTTTGATACTGTTGGGTCTTCTATTTGATCATTATTCTTTACTACCTTCTCTGTACATTTATCTCCATTATTCACAGGTGGAGGTGGCCTCTCTGGTTTTTCAGAAGATACACCTCCAGTTTCTAACAGATTCTGAGTTTCACTAGTAGGCAAAATAGGCTTATTTTGTGGCCTAGGTGGCACAGGAGGCTTAGTACTGGATCCTTGTGATTGTTTACCTGATTGCTGTGATGCATCCGAACCCTCAATAGTTTTGGGTGTTGCCACTTTAGCTCCATCTTTTTGTTGTGTTTTTGATGTGGTCTGATAACTTCCTAAATGTAGTTTTCGATTCAGAATTGGAGATATTGTTCCAAGTGGTTTAGCAGCAAGTATTACTACTGAACGTTTGGGACTTGGAGTTGTTGGCAGATCTTCTTTTTGGTCAGGTGATTCACAAGCTAAGTCCTCAAATTCTGAATCAAAATCTCTGTTCTCAACATCAGCTGATAAACTAGCTTGGTCATCTTCTGGCTGTGTCAAGAAAGCAGTATCTTCCAATTGTCCAAATCCATCCTGCAGTGCTGAACCATGCTGATTATACCCAACAGGCCTTTCATAAAAGACTAAAACTCTGTCCCCAGCCTGTCTGATAAGCTTCAACACTTGGACTGTTGATGTGATTTTAACACCTATTAAAAAAAGACAAAAACTGTTAAATTTTTATTACGATAACAATCTAAATGGTCAAAAATAGTCTTCAAACACATTTAGATCTTTAATAGTGGTAATAGTACTGTTGCTCATTAACTGAGGAAGTCAATTATGACAGAAGAGCTTAACTGAAATGTAACAGGTGGATCCTTTCCATTTTATTCATACAAATATATCACTTTAGGAGCTGGAAACGATACTAACATAAATAGTCCAGTTTTCTGTTTGTTATTAACACTGTAATCTTACAGAGTAATGCTGTAATCTTACAATGTTCATTTTATATGCCAACATTTTTAACCTTGGTCTTATTGTAAGTTTGGACTTTTCAGCAGCAGGCATTTAACAAAGGATTCAAAAGAGATGGGTATCTTTAAATACAGTTATAATTAAAACAGAAGCAGGCTAACAAAGAAAATAGTTCCAATATTGTTAACAAATATAGGCATGATGCTACATTCTTAGTGTGACTAAACATTGAATTGAATCATCTTCCTTATGAGAATTTTCAGAGCCATTTGACAGTATCTCCAGCTTATGGTAAGATTCAATTTACATGCAAGCTAAAATATCTTAATGCGCACACAGTCCAAATAAAGTCATGCAGGGTATCATGCAAAGATGACTCTTCCCTTGTTCTAGAGAAATCATCAATTGCCTGTTCAAAGCAACTCAAAACCCTTTTAAATCACTGGAGCGATGCAATGGGGATTTAGGCAGTACCTAATCACAATAACTCACTGCAGTGGTTAAGTTCTGGTCTGTAAAACCTCTCAGGTAAAAGCTTTAAAAAAAAAAATTAGTATGACTGTGCTAGCAAGGAGTTTAAGTAGTTCATGTCATGTAAAGTTCTACCTTCATAGTATTTTACCACACTAACTCTTCTATAGTATCTTAATGACTTAGCAGAACCAAATATAAAATTACTTTATCTCTTATTTAAACGGTTAATTTTTGGAGAAGAAATGCATGTGCTGTCACATGCAGGGATATCTGGGATACTACATATACCTCATAATTGTGCAGTTCTTTCTGCATTTCTTTATCTCCATTTCGTTGGTAGAGAATCTCCAAACTGACAATATAACCCTAACAGAATTTCTTTTACCATTTTTACCCTAGAGTGATTTCAGTTTACATTCTATTTTATCAGCGGTACCTACACTTATTTCTAAAGTGTTATTAACATACAGTGATATTCCCACTCCTTTTTAGTCTTTATAAATCCGTGGACAGTATACAAACCCCAACAACTTTAAACTAAGCTACTTATGATTTCCTACTCCATAATGTTTTATTTAATCCCATAACATCCAGTAGAATAGAAAACATTACATTATTTCCTAATGGTCATAAACAGGTTCCTATCTGTTCCTTCCACTAAGTTGATTAGCCACCGTTCTTGTTAATGGTTTACTTGTCCTATCCAGTGCCATATTGTGTAGGTCCCCTCCAATTCTCAAGTTTAAAGCAGTAAGATTTCCAGTATCAGTTTCTGATTATGGTTTATGATTATGATCTAGCTGTCAGTTGGTGACAGGGTCCATCTAAAACAGAAGTATTCAATCTACATCTGGAGATGGTCTAATTAAAAACTGTAGAATATAAACTAGTATTGATCCATTTCATAATGCCCAGGGATTTCAACAGAATCTTTATCAAAAAACCCACAGTGCCCTGCCCCACAAAAGTCAAGGGTAACTTTTTGCCTCAATGCAGCATTTATCTGCCAGTTACAATTTGGCCAAAGTGTTCAAATATGAGAACTTCAGAGTAGACTTCTAAATAATACTTAGGCTCCTACATGTCAGAGCTGATGAAAATTGATACTAAAAGTATAAAAATACTATTGAATACTCAGCTGATCTTCTTGGATCATTTTGACATTTCAGACAATTACTCTGTTGGTCAAAAATATATTTATACTACTTGCTCTGTACTCTGTTAGTACCTTTAGGTTCAAAGCTGAGTATGCAGGCCTAGGATGTAAAATGTTATGCTTTTCTTTGTAAACTAAGCAAACTTTGTAACATCACTGGAAGAAACTAAGTAGGGAACCTCACAGCATTGCTATTAGAGCAGTTCATATATTTACATTCAAGCATTTATTCAACTTTATTTTGGCTTTTACCTAGCAAAGAGTAAATAAATATGCAAGAAAACTAATCAAATTAATGATAACCTTAAGTGGCCATAAATACATAAATGTTAGTTTTTATTATGAGTGCCAGGCATAACTGTATTTGTTGAGAAAGGCAGTCTAGTTGTACTGTATGCAGACATGTCCTTGCAGTTTGCAAGACTACACTTATTTTGAAAGCTGACATATTACTCACTGCCAATTGCTAAAAGTCTGTCTCCTCTCTGTAGATCAGCAGCTGCAGCAGGTGAGTTTGGAGTCACAGTCTCAATGACAACATGCCCTGCATCTTCTTCCTTGGACTGCACAAGACGGAGCGTGAGCCCAACGCTTTGCAGATTCCCTTTCACTAGTTCTGCCTAGAGACAAAGAAGATAAAGGTTAAGAATATGTCGATTAGGCTGACTGCAAGGATTCATGGTTACTCATGACTGTTTAAATGAAATCATACAATTGATATTAAAAAAATTACATTAGGACATCCATTGACTTCATTAAGCAGATTGTCACGTAACAGATTAACTCTCTGCCAATCCAGTTTACATCTTTGGAGAAAGATGGAGCCAAATGTCACCAGTTCTGAAGAGCCAAATATGCTGAAACTAGGGAGCAGTGCAAGAAATTGTCAGCAAAATAAATATATATATAAAAATATATGTATGTGTCTGTGTACACACCTGTTCAATAGTTTATATACAATTAATAACAATACTGAGCTAACCTATGCTAATACAAGTCAGCAGGTTGCAATACATGGCTCATCTTCACAAAAATCCGCAACCCTAAAAAAGCTACAACTAAACACAACCTCATGATCCGTTTTATGGGGAAGAAGTTTCATTAAAAGGAGCACTGTACCATCAATCTAGGTATCACTTTGAATATACCACATTTGTGTTATAAAACCTGTTACTATGAGTAGCTCTTCAGTAGTCTATACAAAAAGGTGTTTGGAGTGAGAAAACTATTATGCACTTACACATTGCTAAAGCATATTTAGAACAAATCAAAATCAACAATAGCCTAAGAAGGTTCTTCAAAGATCAGAACCCTTTCCTCATATTTATCTTGCAAGATAAAATTTAACTCAAATCTCAAATATCTTTTTAAAAAAAAAAAGAAAAGACTGAGGTGCAATCTCTGTAGTAAAGTTTCACCCCACACTCACACACAGATCTCTTATAATTTGGAAGTCCCTATTGAAGAATATCTTAGGTAGTTGTCAACTGTTTACACACCTCAGCGTCTGAGATCTTTGGCAACTTTTTTCTTAACAAACACTGTCCTTAATGAGTTTAAAAATATACTTCTTTTTCCCCCTAAAGCACATTCCTTCTGGACTGTTTCAAATGACTGTCTACTCTTGTTCGAACAAAGTATACTCTGTCTATTTGAAAGGGGAACTCATAGTCTGTGTTTCAGCTCCAAGGACAGAAATTTAATTTGCTTTTTTGATTCCCAAGAACAGAGAGACAGACATTGTTTGTAGAAAACCTCCACAGGCAATTTTCTATTTGGTTTCAATTTAGTGAGTTTAGGTAGACAGTCTTCTCCTCCATCCTTCTGCATTTACTTTGTTGCTGTTCAATTGTTGATGTTTGAACTGTCTGGAGTTGATCCTCCTCTTTTGAGAATGTGTTCGTTTGCTTAGTTTTGTACAATGGCTTTCCACAGATGAAGTGGATTACTTCAGTACGTGACTCTCTCCTTGGCCGTATGGCTTTCACTCCTTTCCTATAATCTTAATAGCACCACACCTTGGTTTTTTGTTTGTTGTTCAGTTCTTTATAGAAATGAGTGCTACATTACCTAGCAGTTTGCTTAAGAACAGCACTGAGTTTGAAGAAGCAGACTTGCATTAACTTTCTAAGCTTTGTCACTAATTTTCTGCACTACCCCAGTCACTTAAAGATAGTATTTTCTCTCAAACTTTGTTAATGTCTGTGGTGAATACCCAGTACCATACGTAAGAATAAAAAGACCAAATGGAAGCTTAATTGCAGTTCCAAGATTCAAGGTTCTTCTATAATGCCAACAAGTAAATAGCTGCCTACAGAAACACCTGTGGTAGGGGGTTTAGGGTTTTTTGTTTGTTTTAATTAAGGCCATTCCCATTTACACTAAAGAAACTCTGATACATAATTACATTTTAAAAAATTAAACTGTTAAGTGTTAAGAAACAAAGAAGTATTAGAAGTACCTGTGGAAGAAGAGAGGAACTTTTTTTGAAGAAAATAATTACTCTTCTGCTTTAGTCCTTTATTTATATATAATACGACTAAGCCATTCACAAATGTTGCACATGCTATATGGAAACAACATGAATACTTACTACAATTTCAAACAACACTAGTTGAATATTTTAACTGTCAAACCCACAAATGACATGAATTTGCTGTGGCGGCATACAAACTTGCAACAAAAACTCCTTCCAGAAATCACTCCCCTATGCTACATAGCTCTGCATATTATTATCAAACAACAAGGAGACCATTATTTCTGAGATTTGCTACAGAGCCTACGTACTCAAATCTCAACTTTCCTATGATATTTCCTTTGAAAGTCATGCTCTAAATGATTACGGTTGGAAAAAGATTTCCGAATCCTTGGGTTTGAATAGATAACGAAACTATCATAAATTAAGATCAGAAAGTAAACTCCCACTTAAGGAATGTTGACAAACACAAATATGACAAAGGATTGAAAAGCAAACTATAACCATTTTTTGCCTTAACTTTTGTTAGTCCACTGAAGTATAAAGCTGTTTTAGCAAGAGAATTTCAGGAAAGAAATGGATGCTTAAACAGAAGGGGGGGTACCAACCACACACACAAAACAGGGTGATTTCCCTCTTAAGTTATTCTGGCCATTTAATCACACTCCTTTAGAGATACATCTGTTTTGATGATATAGCTTCCTTCTGAAATCTTACATTAGTTCTAGATCTTAATGCCCAGGACTGGAGTTAATTAATAAGACAAGATGTTTTAAAGTCATGGCTCATCCAAGACAGTCTGTTAGTTTTGCATCACTGCAGAAGAAACATTGCTGTAAGTTTGTTTGCAACATGAGATAACTCTTGTGCAATCAGTCTTTGAGCAGATCAGAAAAACATCTAACTACTGAAGGAAGCTGGCTATCATAACACTTTTACAGGAGTTACCTCATGCAAATCTCTTTCTTTTACAGTGGGATACCTTCTCATCCATTCAAAGAGCGGCACAAAGAAGTGGTAAAATTTCTAAAGGCCCGTTCTTCAGAAAGCATCAAACCTTATTTGAAAGAGAATGTCAGAAGGAAAACAAGAGCTGGTACTGCAACACCTAGCGTGTTGAAGAAAGGCAGCAGTGACCTCTAACCATTGTCAGTACTTGCAATGATGGCAAACTGCATGATGAGCAGATATGGGGAAAGGGCAGAATTAGACAGTGAAAAGGAAAAAAAAATGTTACCAAAAGCTTTCTTACAGTTTGTCAGTACAGACCTTCATCATCTCGAGCTTCCTTTCACTCCAACGATTACGTTGAGCAGATCTCAATAGTGGATGACTTAACAATGAAAATATTCTCTACTGTAAAAGACTAGAAACCTCTGAGGTGATTCCCAGCATTTCACCCTTCCTTCCTCCCCCAGCGCAAGACCACATAAAAGAAAAAAGGGACAGCTGGGACGAAAGACACTTAGGTATCTCTGAACATTTGGCTCCCATGCAGGGACACCGACCGCAGATTACAGTGTATATGACTCTCTGATGGCGTGGAAACTTCCAATATTCTAGCAGTATCTGATGGAAAGCTGTTTTTGGAAGGAGAGCGCCTTTGAACATAACAAGCAAAGTTCATCTCAACTTTTTATTAACTTTGGCACTGTCACAAGCTTTCTCATGAAGTAAACTGGTTTTATTTATCAACCCAAACCAGATGAATAGTTTCCTTGATTTTTCTTTCTGGCAACTCCAAGTTTCACCAAGTAATACCACAATATCTCAGCGTAACAGCAGTGCAGGTAAACACTGTTTCAAGTTCTCAAACACTCCCCACCGCAACAAGTACACTCACAAAACCAAGCATCTTCATACACCCAGCCAGTTACTTTCTGCCGTTTTGCCTTTCCCTCAAAGCAAAACGTGATAATAAATGTGAAGAGCCAAAGATCTACCAGAACATGAAACATCAGAAGGATAAAAATCAGCTAAATGACACAGAGGTTAGAAGAAAATTGCTAAAGGACATTTATTATCAAGGAAGCCTGCTGCAAGGGAGAAAAATTAACAGCTGTGCCTAGGAGAAAAGGAAATTTTAACTAACCAGCTATACCACATTAAAGCAAGTTTATTTTAATTTGATCTAATTACTAGCTCTGTTTTACTAGTTCCTGCAAGTCTTAGTAGTTACTTAAGGAGCAAGACAAAACAGATAATACTACTTGCTCATCAGCAACAGGCATACATTTAAAGTAATTTAAATTGAAAGAGTTAGAGCTAACCTGTGTCACAGAACTCAGAAAACGTACCTTTTTTAAAAAAGGTAAGCAACCCCCAGACTACTTATGAAATACGCGTTGAGATTAAGATGCAACAGAACAGGAATGACTATCTTAGGAAAAAATGAAAAGTAGTAATTTCCTTAGTGTTTTATTATTCAAGAAACAACCCCAAAAGAGGACACATGATGTCCATTCACTTTAAAATTAATAAAACATTTTGATGTGGGGGTGTGAATGCCCGACTTTTACAGGACAAAGTCTATAAGCATTGATTTCACAGTACAGGCTTAAGCTCATTTATATGCATCAGTGTATAAGCCACTGCAAAGCCTAACCCCACCACTACTTTCAGTTCAATACTGGAAGTATGGTCTGAAAATAAAATGCAGCAGAAAATTCTGTTGTGTCTCATAGCCTTTCCTTACCTCAGCCTTGTCATTCTGAAAGCCTAGCACAGGCTGGATGTCAGTGAAAATCAATTTTTCCAACCTTTTTTAACATAGCAATACTGAACTGCACAGATACACAGCGATCATTCAGAAGTTTATAGCTTGCTAATACCATTTAAATGGCCAAACATTTATATGCGTGTCAATACAGGATGCAATTTTAACCTTCAAATGCTTCATAAAGTTATCAGTCTGAAAGAATTTGCAAATGCAAACTGATGATAAATAAACATCCCTCTTACAGGCAACAGACAAAGGTGATACCACCTCATTTACTATCTGCTTCCAAAACTGTACCTATGAAGTTAGGTTACTTTTCAATACAGAGATAAGAATGTCAGCAGTAATACTGTAGTCTCATAACTACAGTGTAACTTAACATTAGATATAGCACTTCCACCATTCAGAATTTCTAAGACAAGACA